TTGTTATTAATTATTTCACAATTGATTTTATATATATATAATAAATTATAATATAATAATAAATACTAAATAATGAATGAAAATAGGTTTCCATCTAATTGAAATTTTTCCCATTTCCAGAATACAAACGGACCGAGGCCGACATACGTAGGCGCCAACAACGGTAACGCGGGCGGCGCCGGCGGAGGCGGCGGTGGTACTGGTGGCGGCGGCGGCGCCGCCAATACTGGTAGCGTCGGCGTAGGACCCACGACCGGCGCGGGTAACGCCGGATTGAAGGGCAACACGGGCGGCGGACCGCGGGGCGGCAATCCGGTGCAGTATCGTGCGAGTGGAGGCGGTGGTAGCGGTGCCGTCGCGGCCGCCTGGAGCACGGCGCCGTCTCACGCAGCCGCGGCAGCAGCGGCGGCCGCTTACCCGCCTTACACGCGACACCCGAGCGCGGCTGCGGCGGCCGCCGCGGTCGCCGGTGGTCCTCAACAGCTGCCGGCATCCGCAAATCCCTTCGTCACCGCCACGTACGCGCAGCATGCGACGGTAAGCACGCGTTCGTTCGCCAGCGTACTCTCTTCCATCTCCAACGGGAATCCTTATCGCGATATCGGGCAATAGTTTAGGATTTTATCTCACGTGATGGTGAACGCATACGAGATTATTGTCGCGCGGTGGTTGCGTAAACTTCGCGAGAAGGTAGAAGATGGATCGTTTTAATAAGTGTAGTGTAATATTCGTGTTGTAAACTAGAATATAGGAAATATTATACAGATTGTTATTGTTTGGATATAGGATATAATTGTTTTAGATATGAGTTGTTGAATCCGTAACCCATTTTTCGTGCTTTATATCTAATAAGATATATATTTTTTAGAGATATTTTAGCCAACTTCACGTTTTCATGGTATATACGATGTTATCAATTATATCGAAATTTTTAAAATGGGATGTTAACTTCATAGAGATAATTGACTTATCGTGCTAGATTACAAATTTGAGATAATATATTTTATATCGATAGTCGCGATCTGATAATGAAGCGAAATACTCGGTATAAAATTAATTGCCTTTGACTCTTTTCGAGTATCTCAAATTACTTGACTATTAATGATGTGTTTGCAGTATGGTGGACAGCGGGTGCCTACAGCTTCATCTCCGGCGAATACTAACAGCAGCTCTAGTAGTGCCACTGGCAGCCAAAGTGGGACAATGAGCACGAGTCTCAGCAACAACGCTATGCAGGGTCAACAGGCGGAGCAGCTGTCCAAAACAAATCTATACATCCGTGGCCTCAATCAGAATACGACTGACAAAGACCTCGTTAATATGTGTTCTCAGTAAGTGGTGTTATATTATATATATTTCTTTCTTATACGTGGCATATCTAATGCCGCGTGATCGCAGATTTATGTCGTAATTCTATCGGAGAGAAACACGATGCCTTATCAGAAAGAAAACGAATACGCTGTCAACATAAGTTAATGTATCATTATTAATTATGATTTATTCGATCGTACATAACTATTGCAAAGTTGTACAACTATTAGAGTGTATGTTTTATTAATAATTATCAATACTTGTCTTTAAAATACAAGTATATTATATACGATAATAATAATTAGGTTAATATAAATATGTTACATCAAAATCTGATATTTTTACAGATACGGAACTATAACCTCCACCAAGGCAATTTTAGACAAAAATACAAACAAATGTAAAGGTAATTAATTGCACTTACATTCCTCAATAGCATACTGTAACCTAACTAAGCTAGTTCTTTATTTCAATATAATTATTTTATTACAAGTTGGTCAATTAACGTCAAGTGAAAATTATTATAGTGCTATTTGCGTTAGAGATCACAATAAATATGCTTGATAAACAAAAGATTCTCATTATGTTTTCTTATATCTAACAAGATTGTCACTCGTCTGCAGAATAAACTCGCGGAATCTGTCTTCTGTTGAAAAAATGAGAAGAAACGCTCTCTCTTTCTTCCTCTTTCAAAAAATTTTATTATCATAATTTACAAAACTATTAAGTTTTTAAATTTAATGTGACTTTCTGGAAATTACCTAGATTTTGAATTACATCATGGCTCTTAAAACCAAGACAAGAGGGATGTCCATTTTCTCAATTTTCCAATTTTGCAATCCTTATTCCTATATACATCGCAAAATATTGGCAAAAAATTTAAGAAAATAAGAGGAGAAAATGAAGACAAATTTTGGGAGAATTTAACGAGATAGAAACGAATGACAATTTTTGAATAATTTTAATACGTTGATCGCTAACGTCATAAATGATAAATTCATTATGTATTATGTATTCATTATGTGTTATGTATGCATCAATTCAATGTGTATCAATATTATGCACGTAGTACAATCAACGTATTTATCAATTATAAAAATTATTAAATATTTCATATTAGAATTTTCTAAAGAGAAATCTATAAGATTTATGCTGTAATTACAATGTTGCAGGTTACGGATTTGTAGACTTCGAGTCACCGATGGCGGCAGAGGGTGCTGTCAAAGCACTGGTCGCCAAGGGGATACAAGCGCAGATGGCGAAAGTGGGTATCTGGTTGCTCCGTAGACTGGACAGTGTACGTGGTTGTGCATGCAAGTACAGAGTAATACCAGAGTAACAGTAAACCTCTCTCTCTCTTTCTCTCTTCTTTCTCTCTCTCTCTCTCTCTTTCTTTTCGTTGTCGTTTCTTTATTTTTTACCCCATTCTATCCATTGCGTTTTGTTGTGTTTTTCATACAACTCCTTTCTCGTCGCCTCCTCGTTTATTCGCACGGAAACTTTGAAAAACCGATCGAGATAAATCACATTTTTTTAAAAATAATTTTACAAGTGCGAAACACGACGTTTTGGGCGTCTCTTTTATTGTATGCAATATTGAAAATGTTTTAAAGCAATCAATGTTTCAATCAACTAGAATCGTTATTTTTAAATTTTGTATATTTTTATATTTAATGGATTAATATTAGAATTCCAAGTTAAGCATTTGTGCACGAAAAATGTATCGATTTATTTTTATTTAGTTTTATTAAATTTTTACTTTGTTTATAGAGAGATTTATATCATAAACGAAAAAATTTCAATATCTTCTTTTTTTTCATAAATTTATTTTTTCTCTAGTTGCTTTATAGATGCTGTACGAATCTCCATCTAATAAAATCTAATTACCGCGCTAGTATCAAATAATCCTACAAACATGAAACTTGGCAAAAGTTTCTCTTAATATTAAGGAGAAACATCAGGATGAGAGCTAGAGAAAAAAAATCGTCTAAAAAAAGAAATATTTCAAAAGCATTCTCACATATGGTATTTCTTCTTAATATAATTAATTCGGTGGAAATCTCACAAGGGTATAGCTTATATGTGCGACGAGCAATTGTGTGTATAATTCAAAAAAAATACTTCCGTAATATTTTTCTCGATTATTTCTTATATATGTACACCGGGGACTGTAATATATTTTTTCCATCAAGAGCCTCTCTATCTTTCTCTCTATCTCTCTTTCTCTCTGTGTTTCTCACCTTCTCTTTCATTTATCTAGAAATTCTCTCCAATCTCTTTGTCTATAATTCTGCCCTACTCCTACCAGACCTCTATCGGTGTTTGCTGCTATACCTCGGCCACAAATACAGCCGACATGCTATGCTACGCCAACACTATGTTTAAGATTATCATGTCTGAAAATTGCATTCTGCGAATTTCAACACTAATTTCAAGCTCAGCTGTAGAGGCGCAATAATAACCTGTTGTCGACGTTCAATTTGTGTCACAATCTAGATTTATATAATTAATTATATACTTGCAAGAGATTGACAGTAAGTCTATTTTATCTATGAGTATCGTAATTTTAAAGCTTAATGTAAAACTTTATTCGCTGAATCGTTGAAAAATCTGATAACGAATTAAAGAAGAGAACAGTATTGCATTGAAGTATAGCAGCATAAGCGCGACGTATCAGTAGCAACTTTAGTAATGGTAATATCGATATATTGTGCAACATTACGTTCATTATGTTCTTCGTATCGTAACATTAGCGATCCAAAGAGAGTATTAGCTTAAAATACGGTTCGTGTTACACTAAATTAAATTCGATAGCATTGTTCGACTATGATAAAGATCTCTCTTTACTATGAAGAAGACGATGCTTCTCTCTATATGCCGTATTATATTAATCTTATTCAATTGGAATTGAAAAGATAAAAAAAGAAACATAAAACACACGCTGCCGAACGAGAGTGTCGGCCTTCCCCGCCTGTGTTTGTACCATTTATCCATAAGACTAACTCTCTCTCTCTCTTTCTCTCTCTCCCCAAATGGAATGGTTCCTCTAAGTTGCCCGCGGTAAAAAAAGCACGGGGTGTGATGACCAACAGCTGTGTGATGATAATGACGATGTCGATGGCATGCGATATGATATTATTATAACTAAAAGCGCGATATCATCGTATCTCTTCTCGATTAAAATCCTATGCCCCCTCCCCCTACTCTTCCCAGGGATACGCGTATTATTCGGATCAGGCGTTATCTTTCCTCGAGGGGTGTTGGTTGACACGTACACTTATCTTACGATAAAAGTTTAATCTCTCAACGCGTCTACAGGGTGTGCATTCGGGAGCTCGTCGTAAGATTCAAGTTCGAGAATAACTTACTCATGTACTACATATAAAAATTAATTGTGTCATCAATTTTTAAAACGTGAATATTAGCCACCTATAAATATAATAATATAAAAATATTAATTGTTTTTATTACATCCATCCTATATACAGAGTTATAGGATAATAGAGGAAGTCATGTAGAAGTCACACAAGTAAAATGAATAAACGGAATCGGGTAAAAGAAAAAAGGGAAAATTTCAACGAGATTAAAAGTCAAGCTATGTCGAATCTTACGCAAAATTCCGAATGCACGAATCATATCTTTGACGAGTCTGTATGAACTGTCCTATCGGAATAAGAATACATTAAGAAAGGGTACATTTAATACAGCGGAAGCTTGATTATTCGAACGTTATTCAATTATTCGAATGATGCTGGAAACGTCCGATTGTTTGAACAATGTTTCTCTTGCGAGATAACATCATTCGAGAATAATTGTATCGTTTTTTCCATATCATTCAAATAATCAATCATTAAATAGCGTTCGTACAATGGAGCTTCTATTATACCTGTATTTGATCATCCATATATATGCAGAATGTCGTAGAACGAATGGCAGTGCGATTAACAACGCGATTAATTCGCGTTAAAGTGGAAACAGAGTCGATGGACCGTGTGTTCGTTCCAAACAAGTCGTTCGCTTCATTAAAACTATAATCGCTTCATTCTGCGACAGCCCGCATATATTTTAAATGCCATCAGCCTGGCTTATATATCATGATATTTTCATTATTCGTTCTTTTGTTTTAATGCATTCGCAAGATTGAAGTAAATTGTCGTAAAGTATAAGTATACTCAAGTAATCGTAGATATTTTGATTGATTTATTATATGTTGACGGAGAAGAGTGTGGTGGCATCTCGAAATATGCTTGAGGGTGCATCAGTAAAAAAAAAAAAAAAAAAAAAAAAAAAAAAAAAAAAAAAAAAAACATACGTACACATATATCTTTCTCTCTTTTTCTTTTTCTCTTCAATCTTACTTTCTCTCATCCTTTATTTACATTATCACGTTTTGTTTCACCCTCTCTCTCTCCACTTACTCTCTTCTAATGGAATCGTTCAAACGGCATAAACGGAGCATGAACACATACGTATATGTACGTCCGTGTCCACGTTCACATATATTATGTGTTTTGTGCGAGACATGTGTTCGTCCAAAGTCGCTTTCCTTCTTCACGTCCGTTCATTTACTTACATAACTGTATATATACATATATGTATGTATATATGTATACGTAAAGATATCTGTGCTTTTTTTTATCACGCTTCTCTCTCTCTTTCTCTCTTCTTCCCTCTCTTTCTCTCTCTATCTCTCTCTCTCTCTCTCTCTATCTCTCTCTCTCTCTTTCTCTGTTTTCAATGAAATGCCATTTGTTATTTGAACCTATTCTTTGTTACCGCTTTGAATGGTTATCTGTAAAGACGACGGAGACGGTTCTTGACACGTGTACATACATAATATATTAGAAATTTTAAATGGATACGGAATACACAGAGTTAATACACAGGTTTCGAGCTATATAATCCTTGCTACAGAAATTACGATCATATATTCTCGCGAATGCCTCCGTGAATATCGGTTACACGCGCTACGAAATTTCTAAATACCATCGAGACGACTAGAGACGATCATCGCGCAATTAGGCAGGTTTTGCATCAAATAATTCCACTCCCACATGCACAATACTCGAGCAAATTTGTCCCATTCCATTAACGTAAAACGCGATAAAATGTATGCACAGGCGACGCACTTATATCGTTATCTCGTATGTTACGAGAGATTTCGTCTACCAATAAAAATTTGTCTAACAACTGCAGTAGAGAGAATCTTTTTTTTTTTATATATGTTTTGTACTATTATATAAATATGTATCTAACTTTTATTTTCTTATATACATATATATATATTTGATTTCTCTCTTATTTATTTATATTTATTTTACATCTGTGATTTTTAGCTGTGCTCACTCGCTCTTATCTCTATTGTGCCTATTTCTTAGGGCTTATTCGTAGAAACGACACAAATTTTCTTTCGATAGAGCTGAGTCTTTACGCGAGGATTGTTAATGACTGTATAACGATGTGTATGTGTAGATTATATCTTATTCTCGTGTGAGCATGCTCCGCGCGAGAAGAATACAAATTCGAGAGAATCGAATTTTTAGAGATAGCGCATATATATTTATATATGTATATACATATAGATATATTTGTTAGTCGAGAGATAAATCGAATGCATCCTAAAAGCAAGCAAATTTAGAGAGCCACCAGAATGTGGTAATGAAATTGCCATGAAGCATGATAACCTCCCGACATTGAGAATAATAATTATCTTAATACGGTTTCACGTTTTGCGATATCGGTTCTCGATATATACCCTCCCGTTCGTTCTACTTTGCGCTTGTTTCGAAATTTAGATGACGATAATTCCTAATATATAATTTCATAATCTTTTCGTAGTGTATCAATGTATTGGTAGAAAAAAATATTGTATTTTGACGAAGCTACCGCTCACTTTTTCGAGATTACATTTAGATTACGTCTCGTTATTTTTCTTTTTTCGAGGATAAATGTCTCTTTCCGTGTATTTTTATTATTTCGATTTTATTATTCGCGCTAAAACTCGCAAATATCATTTTAACGTTCCAGACTAAGAAGAAAAAAATTACGCGACCACACGGCACACTCATTCGTCGCAAGATTCTCCCCATTATTTATTCATAATTTCATATCAATTTATGATATAATAATCTAATAATAATAATAATAATATATCTCTATCTTGTACAGGATATTTCTGAAATAGTTGAAGAAATTTTGCAGACGTGTTAAGACGTTCAAGTTTCGAGTCTGTAAATCGTTTCGCCTGTGCATCCATTTGTAATCGTGATAAAATAAAGCAGCGATATACAATAACAGTCGTGGAAGTTAAAATGATAGTCCGTTCAGATTTGTTTGCAAAATCGATATATCCATCGTATCGTTCTGTTACACAAGTAATTGCATAGTGTCTTTACTCTCTTCCCAGCAACAGGAGCAGGACCCCACCAATCTGTACATTGCCAATCTACCGTTGACCTTCAAGGAGAACGACGTCGAAGCATTGCTGGCTCAATACGGACAGGTCATTTCAACTCGCATCCTTCGCGACACTTCGGGTCAAAGCAAAGGTGTCGGATTCGCAAGGTTCGCATGAAAATTCATGATATACGATAGTAATATTGGTACTATTGTTTTCCCGAGAGCTGCGTTTACTTTGTACAAGATTTGCCTCTTGACGAGAAATATAAAAAAAAAAATTAGTATATCTTGTTATTGTCTTATATTATTTTAAGTCACGGTAAGATTTGAGAAAATATTAATATTGTAATGTAATATAATATACGTACTGTTGGTTCAGAGAGTAATTTAATATTTCTAATGGCTGTTACAGAATGGAATCTAAAGAAAAATGCGAGCAAATTATCCAGATGTTCAACGGAAAAGCGCTGCCAGGCGCAAAAGATCCTTTATTAGTTAAGTTCGCTGATGGTGGAAACAAAAAGAAATCGTTGTTCAAGAGTACAATATGGAGAGAAACTGGAGAAGTATGTATTCTTTTTTTTATCAATCTCCCTATAAAATTATATATCGTAATGATATTGTATACATGCAGAGTGATGTATATACGAGGTATATAAAGTATATACAACGTACATACTTTATTTCTTTGAACAGTGTGCGAATATATACACACGTATTATGTTACTAATTGGTGTTGAATTCACTTCCTCTCTTTTTGACTTGAATAAAATTCTTTTTTGTGACATTAATCTTGGGAAACGTGTACATGTGTCGTTCACTATGTCACAGGATTTATATTTTTGTAGTAGTGTTTTTTTGTAATTGTTGATATATCACTGTGAATATACTAATTTATCATTTAATTCTTCATTTTTTCAGAACATGACTTTGAATTACGACACAAGCGGCGTCGGCCAGAACGGCGTTGCTGCGACTCACATGCTTCCCGCGGCGACTCTAACGCAGTACAGCCGTCACTACGGTCAGGCATTGCCTGGTTACAGTGTGCCAGGCACTCCCTGGGTGGCACCTTATCTCGTGCATCCTTCCCCACCACATATGCAACAGGTTGACGTGAGTTTTTATACACTTTTCGTTCATTTTGTTTTCGTCATTTTACACAATTGAAGGAAAATATTTTTGTGTCGGACTTTTCGATTCAAGAGATTAGCGCAATTTTTTTGTGTATGTAACAATTCTTGTTTTCGACAATAAAGTTAATAGAAATGAAATATTTTACATTTGAGCATGTGAATCTCGTTCAATCTAAATTAGTTATCCTCTTTAAGATAGAATTGTTTTACGCTTATGCATATATTCTAGCGATTCTTAGAGATATATTTGAAACATTTTGAGATATCAATATGTCTACGAAATTATATAATTATTAAACCATATTGTTAAATTACGTGCTCTTTTTTTTTTAGGAAACCGCGTTCAATTGCTGTTTTAGCTTTAACAAGGTTCCTATATTCTTGGAATATCTTTTTTTCCGAAACAATATTATCGCTTGCTTTTTCATCATCGAGCTTCGTCGATCTTTCTGTTACAGATGATACCGTCGGCCGATCCTAGCAATCCGCAGTACAGTATGATTCCTCAGCTTACCACGCAGATGTCTACTTTGCATCTCGGCACTGGTTCCGTAAGTTATCGATTTTTTATCAGCTTTTAAAACACAAAATTCGGAAGACGTCTCCAAGATTGAAACTTAAAGGTTATTCTAATGATATAGAAAATCTCAAAAAATGTCTTTCATAGTTTAAAACGTTTATTATATTTTAATCGGAAGAATGTTTTCCTAGAATTTCTCTTAGAATTGAATCTAAAATCTTTATAATTGTCTTTCGAATATACGTGTTGTTGACTAGATTGATTTGAGTTAATGCCGACACAAAAATAAAAATTAATCGTCTTCTTGTTTCTACTTTTCAGTACATAGCGAGCCCGCATCCCTATCCTTACACCACTTACCCCGCCCCTAGCATCATTCACACTATGCCACTGGGCGAGTCGGAGCAGACGAGTAACGCGGCGTCCCCCGACGATTCCTATCAACAATACCAGGCTCAACAGCCTAAGTAGGCCACGGTTTATAATAGGTCAGAATTCTTTCTCCTCTCGTAATGCCGCACGATGCGATAATATCGTGCCGAATTACAAATTCCTTCGTTCGCAATAGGATGACATACTAAAGCGATCTTTCGGATTTTGCAGATGTACGATCACGTTAAGAGTTACATAAGTTAGAAAAGGCATACTGATTGAGAGAGAGACGCATCAAGAGACACGCGTAGAATGAGCGACAGCAACCGACACCGAGCGGGATTATACTAAGAAGAATATAGATTTGAAACAAAAACTACATTACGTAACGGATAAGATTCTTCCTCACGATAAATTGACTTGCCAGCGATGTTTTATACGTTTTATCCATCAGTAAATAGGGGAAAGTAGTTGATATTTTGCAACGAGTAGGCAGAATGAATGTTGAAAGAATGTGTAAGCGCGAAAGAGAGCGAGTAAAGAGAGAGAAAGACAGAATACAATTGAAGAAATAGAGGAGAAAAAAAAACATGAGAGTGATTACGTGTCATCCGGGCGGACTAGCATGTGCTTCCGCACCGATATGGCTTCATTAAAACGATCTATATAACGGTAACACGTACACTCCCATGTGCATACATAGATACACACACATACACACAGTGAGAAAAAAATTATTTACGAAGGACAGTTTAGTGTCAAGCTGATAGGCTTCCATGATGTAACTTTAGGTATTACGTTTACTAAGAACAGATGAGACAGAAATTGGTCGAAATTGATCTTGAGAACTCGAGAGTATGAATAAGTATTTTAACGAGTAAGAGAGAGAGAGAGAGAGAGAGAGTATGTGCGTGTGCAAATTGTAAGGGAAAAAACGAATAAAGGAGAAGAAAAAGTAATGCTGCTCAGAAATATATAAAGGAGAATTCTTCCTAAGAAAATAATAGTAAATAATAATACGGAGAGAAAGAGAAAGAGAGAGAGAGAGAGGGAGAAAGATGGTGAAAGGAGGGAAAGAAAGACAGAATGCGCTACTTCCAAATGATAGGATTGACAGATATAACATCGAGAGGAGAAATTCGAAGATTCAGAATTATGACTACAAATTTCGAAAATGGCGCTCATTTGCGGAACTTCTTCGTTAAGAACGTGCTTGGAAGCACGCGTCTTCCACGAGAGCGTACACTTCACCCTCAGATCTATATTTCACATACAGATTACGTAGACTACACAGATACACCGACAAAAACAATAATACACTCTTATTGTTCACGAGTTCACGTGTTCTCTTTTCGGGTTTTTCTTTTTTTCCGTTTTGTTAAGATGTTCAGAGACATTCCAAACCGGGCATATATGAGCACATCGCCGCGTAAAGCTTTTTTTTAAATGATATTTTTGCCTTTTTTGTAACGACAAATTATTATTAGTTTAACAAAAAAAAAAAAAAAACTTTCTTTTTCGAACACACGAAAGAGGGTAATCATTTCCCGTACTTATTTTTGGATGAATATTATTCTGGTTCCTAAATTTCTTCATCACGTCAGTTCTAAAAAATTTGCGAAGAAGCTATTTGAATATATTTTATTATCTTATACTTAATTGTGATTTACAACAAAACTTTTTCAACACGGCACATACGTAGCAATAAATAATAAAATATATGAAAATAGTCCATTTTTGCAACCTTAAATTTCTGAAAATTAATAATTTTTTAGAATGTGATGTGATGGAGCAATTTGAAAATTGTATTCAGCGGACGTAAAAGACGGAAAATGATTATTCTTTTTCTTGCTTTTTTCTTTGTTAATTTATACATAACTTTTGAAGACAAATTGGAAAAAGAGAAATCACGACGATAAAATTTTGTTTGTAAAATGTGAAAATGGAAAAATTTCGAGATATACTGGATATTAATTATTGTGCGAAGAACGAAAGAAAAACACTCTTTGTATTATATTTATAATGATTACGCTACGGATCAATATTGATTTTTTAATTGTACAGCTTAAATACAAATTTTTTTTAGAATCGTGCCTTTGCAGACAGATCCGTTAAATGAGAGAGAAAAAGAGAGAGAAAGTAAAGGATACAAGGAAAAAGAGATTGTTATAATATATTTTTACGTATCGATAAATTCAGATGCGACGCCAAATTTGGTTTTCTAGTTAATATATCTGTAATTGTTTTCACGTTATAAATATCTCTATATACATTTGTTTTCGTTATCAATTTGATAGATTTTGTACATGTAATTGCATGCATTATCGAACGGAATTGGACTGTAAGAGAGAAGAAAAAATAGACACATACGCGTATATCACGGGCGGTCCATAATAAAGATAAAAAAACATCTTTAAGAAAGTCTCTAGAAAAATCAAACTACGATGAATCGAGAAAGAGAGCGCGAGATAACGAGAGAAAGGAAAGGATGAGAGTATGTTTGAGATAGAGAGAGAGAAAAAAAAAAATAAAAGTGGGTTTGTTACACAAGACAAGTATAACTAGAGTGTAAATTAATTTATTTTATCGAGGAAACGCGCGTTACTGTCGGAAAAAGGATAGACGGGAAGCAAAGATAAAGATGCATCGATCTACAATTGTACACACATGTATACGTATACACACACATATACACACGCGCGTGCGCGTGTTTAAACAGATCGAGGAGAGAGAAAGAGAGTAATCGAGACGATATTTTGTCATCTTTCAAGATGTTAAAATTAATAGTTGTAAATAAATCATAAAGTAACATCGCGCGAGAATATTCGTCAATCAGAGAGAAGTTTCGATTTAAGAAGGTTGAAAATCTTTAGAGCATTGTTACGCCACTTTGCGCGATAACTTTGTATTTACTAAAATAAGTATATTTTGCCAAAAAAAAAATTGAAAATTTGCGAAAGTAACTGATTATATTATTTGAATCCATTAAAATCATCATGTTGCCCGTTTGGGTCTTGATTATTCTCACGTTACACCTACGTCCAACGAGATCTCCATCTCTTCCCTCTCCTGTGAATGCCTCCTCTCCTAACTCATCACCATCATCATTTGTGCAGCCGGCAGAGTTTTGTATTGTCTGACATGGAATTGATAGTCAAGGATCGAGTGAAAGAGCGAAAGAGAGGGAGAAAATGTAGAAAAGCTTTTTACCAAAAATATGCGAGAGCTGCAGGCTATTCGCGTGACATATAAGAAAATGATGAAGATGAAGGCAGAAATGACAATGGCGATGGCAGCAAGCACAGGTAGTTAGAGTTTTAGAGAGAGAGAGAGAAAGAACGAACGAGCGAAAGAAAGCAGAGTCGTGTAGTTATTATTATAATATTACAATAATGACGATGTATTATTATAATTAACGATTTACTATTATTGATGTCATCTAAACGTATGAAAGATTTTTACACTGTTGAGACTTGAAGTAAATAATATATTTAGTTTATTTTGGTACATCACGATTTGATGACGAGAGAGTGAGAGAGATAAATTGAAAAAAAGGAGATGAAGAAAGGCGAAGTACGAGCTATTTTTTAAGAGACAGACTTATTACTCGATTTGACTCCACACATTAAAGTAAAAAGTAAAAAAAAAAAACCAGAGGGTAAGTGCGAAAGAGAGAGTGACTGCGAGATAAAGAGTGTGTATGAGAGAGAGAGAGAGGGAATATAAAGCCGAGATGGAAGTGAGAGTGAGAGGAGCATCTTTTAGCGAGTGCGTATAGTGTATTTGTTGCACAAGGCGAGATTGTCACCAATTGACTGACAAAAAAATCCATATGTGATTTTAATAGTAAATTTTGAGAATTTTACTAAATAGACTTGTATACAACTAAAAAAAAAAAAAAAAAAAAAAAAAAAAAACTAAAGTAATTATCGTGACCGACCAAACGAAAAAAAAGAAGAGGGAGAAAAGTGAGTTAACAGAGCAGCATTATAGTTGCGCCGACCCGTTTAGAAGGGGATGAGGACGCACGAATAGTGCGTCCAACATCCTCAAATACAGGCAAGGAAATTCCGTAAGAAGATGGAGAGAGAGAGAGATGGAAAAGAAATGGTGGCCGGCAAAGCGAGAGAAAGAAAAAAGCGATCGTGAGCGAGAGCGCATAATTATTATGTACAGAGAACGCGCGGAGAGACGCGTCTTTTCTTTTTTTTTTTTTTGAACGCGCGCGGCAACGTATCTCGCGTAGATAGTTAGAGTTGAACTGAATGAAAAGGAAAAAAAATCCTTAGGATTAAGCGAGACGTGCGAGTGAGCGACGAGCACTCGCTCGAATTAGGAGATAATAGGAACGGGGCGATCTTTTATCGGATAAGTTTACAACGGTAGTTAGGTAGAACAATAGTTTAGCTATATAGTAATAGTTAGGATACGAATACATATATAAATATATGCCTCTCATTTCCCGTGTCTACCTGCCATCCCCCCGTGTACGTTATCGCGGACACGGGAGTGGAAGGGGAGCGAGACACGGGCATGGGGCACCGTTCAGCCTATGCACCTCGCACCCGTCAAGACTGACTGGCTATTCATATTTTAATTGATAAATATATATATATTATTCTACAGTATATATATATGAGCGCTATACTCGTATAATTGTATAAATAGTAAGGAACTATTTGCTTGCTGCGCACCGCGGGTCGGGTGCGTGGGCTGGCCGGATGTGGGCTTTTGAATTTGAATCATGATAGGGCGTGGGAGCTCGCGTGGAATTTCGCACGGCGAAGACAAGTCGCCACACCTCCTCCCCCTTGCCCACAATCTAGAACCGATATTATTCTAGAGGATTAAGATTTGGACGCGCGAAAAAAAACGGTCCTCATAGTCTCCCTCGTGGTGTATAATATCGGTGTCACGACGTCAGAAGCGAAAAATCATATAAATGTTTTTTTCCTCTTCTTGTACGATTCTTTGCTTCTAACGTGAAGCTTTTGCCGTGAAAGAGCTCGCGAGCTTCCCCGCAGTCTATGGCCACCACCAACAAGGGTTTTCGAGCAAGAAGACGGTTCTTGCTGCTGCGGACGATGCTGCTTTCCAGCGTAAAGCTTTCTCTAGAATTTTAGCATAGAAACTTTTTTAGATTAGACATACTGTAGTCGATAGGCTCTGATTGTAGAAAAGAGGATGAGAAAGATAATCGATTGAGAGCGAGGAGAGAACGAGACGAAAAGATGTAGGATGTTTTTAAGTAAAATAATGTTTAGTCGAGATCGGCTTAAGAGAGCGAATGCGTGCGTTTGTTGCGTGCGAGAGTGAGTGAATTAGCGATAAAGCGAGGTCCGAAGTGACTAGATCATCGTCTTGTACTTCGATTTGTACAGTCCTTAGTTTTCCAAGTTTTTAAGTTATTGTTTTACACGTGTTTGTTAAGCGACATAGTTGTAATTAGTCGACATCTCTGTTTCTTCTTCCACATTTCCTCCTCTCCCCCCGCCGATGTATCTCCGCGCCCCTCCACCCTTTGTCTCTTGTTTCTTTTTGCATTTGTATTCCGCTCGTCCTTCGTGCTCGGCGACGAACAAACTCGAGCGAAGGAAGCGGGACTAGTGTGTGCGTAATGTAATACACTACGATGGAACGAGAGAAATGAGACACGTACCCCGTGTACCGCTTATTTTGCGTCGTCTTTCCAAGGTTGGCCAGAGACGGAGAGAAAAAGCGCAGAAACAAAGAAAAACGGGGAGAAAAAAAAAACGATGTCGCCGGACGCTGGAGTCTCTTTTTAAATCCGCGCGCGAGGATCAATTTGTAGAATTTCGAGAGTACTTTTAAGGCAGAGACGAAGAAAAGGCGTTTTAGCATGTAATGTGAAGAAAAAAAAAAAAATCTTTAGACGTTAAGGCAAGTTGTGTCATAGCTAGTTAAGAGATCTAGGGTGACTCTTAGGAAGTCGAATAGGTGCTGTAATAAAACAAAGTTTAACAAGAAACAAGTCAGAATTAGATTTTTCATGAATAAAGAAAAAAAAAAATAATGAAAAAAAGCTCGAAGAAGAACGTAAAAGGGGGGGGGGGGGGAGGGGGGGAACGTAACACACGCGACGATGACACATGGAGTATAAGCCACTAAAAAGTGCCCTTAGTTTATTTTGGATCGTTTAAAAAAAACGCTAGTCTTTGTGTGAGAAGAGATAACGTGGGAATTTTTAGATAGAATCTTCGGAGAGAATAAACAAGCAAACAAATGAAAAAAAAGAAGAAAAAAAAGGGAAAAAGGACAAAAAAAAAAGAACCGAAGAAAATCGCGCGCGACGAGAAAATATTGCGAGCAGACGAAAAACCGACGAGAGAATGTGCGAGCGAAAGTGAGAGAAGGAGCGTGTGCGCGTGTGTGTACGTAGGTGTATGCCATAAACTTCAAAAGGGGGAAAAAAAGAAAAAGCAGAAAGATAACGCGTACTCGAAGAGAACCATCATCTGCCTATTTTACATACAGAGACTACAGCGCACACTTGTGTGCAGAATATACACAAACACACACATACATACACACAGAACTTGTACAGAAAGAAAAAGAGGGAAAAAGAATGCGCGCGCTATTGCGAGGGTGCACGCTCTCCGCTGCTCCTGTATTATTAACGCATACACCCTAAATGTGTGTCTCTGCTATAGGGGCGTGCACACTTGAATCGGTGGTCTTTTTAGAATTACACGAGTAATGAAGAAACGGTTTGGTAAATAATTAAATACTTCGCGATGCGGGGAAGCGAATTTCCCAAATTCGTCACGATTATCGTCCCTTATTTTTGATCAATAAACGATCTGTTTTGGGGATTTATGCCGAGCGACACGATTCTCTTACTTCACCTATCCGGCACGAGTCTCTTTGAGAAGAGAGAGGAAACGGAAAATGCGCTGATCTAGGGATCAAGCATATTCTTAATCAAAAGATGTTGCAATATTAAAATCAATTATAATTATTTTTTTTTATCGTTGCATTCGTGTATCGATCCGGTTTTCACATACGATATGACGATGTGTTTAAATATAATCAGTTTCTTGATTTTGACTCGGGATAACACTCTCGTTGGAAACGAGAAGATCGATAAATACATATCCATAACAATTACAAAGATTCTTAAACTAAACGCACAAATTATATACGGTATTAAAATGATAGAGATCGCTTTTTGCATCTAAATTTATTAGTCATATTAAATATTTTCAGATTTCAAAATTTTTTACTATTAATATTACGAATTCATACCTAAATTATTTACGAGGAATTTCTCGATTATTTCTGCGTCGATTGTACACGATGCCTTTGCTTTATAATACTTGTGTTATATTGTATTTATAATTAGCGCGCCACATGCTTGGACTTGAATATCCTTAGAGTGTTATCTGCACCACCGGAGGTTATCAATTCGGGATTCGACCAGTCGCAGCTGAGGACCTTGTCTTCGTGTCCCATGAGATCAAACAGCGGTGTCCTGGGGCTGGAATACGATCGCAAACGTTAATGCATAAATATAGTACTAGATATAGACAAAACTGCCACTTTTACGTTCGGAGACTTCGTATTTCTATATTCTCTCATATATATGTTTCTTGTTTTAAATATCTGAATCTTAACACGTAATTTTAACTCTTCTTTAAGCAACAATTTTATAATTTTCAATATTTAATTATATATTATATAATTATTATTAATTTATATTAAGACGGCAAACACTAATTCTCTGCAAAAACGGTTCTTAAAATTCGATCACGCAAACAAACGAAATTTCGCGGAGATCTCCGTATTTTTTTTTTTTTTAAGAATTGCACATTTTATGCTATTGTTTGTAACTAACCTTCTAGTGTCCCAGAATTTGACGACGTTATCATACCCTCCCGAGATGAAAAGATGTTCGTCTACGGTCGACCAGCGCACCGATGCCACCCACTGTGTGTGAGAGGTGAACTTGGCTTTCAAAATCGTACCCTCTAAAATCGTAACACAATAACATAAATATATAGTCTGAAATATTTATTCACCCGATGTTAAATTAATGAAAAGTTTTGAAAATGAAAAATTTTAAAATTCGGTAAAAAGATTTTAATAAAATTTTCTACGTTAATCTGAAATCAGGAAAATTCAATATCGATTTAATTTTATAGATAAAATATGTAAGTTGATTTTATATTGAAAGTATTTTAATGTTTTTCAATATTTTCCTCAGTGTTTGTAAACATATGTAAGTTGATTTTATACTGAAAATATTTTAATTTTTGTCAATATTTCCCTCAGTATTTAAGAGTGTTTATTACTATATTACTCAGTGTTTATAAACACATCGATAATATGAATTATGTCGAAGCTTTAAACACCTGTAGATCTCGGGTCGTACAGTCTCACGTGTTGATCGGCCGATCCCGTTATCACAGCGCGTGATAATGGCGAGTAATCAATGTCGAAGAAACACTTATCGCCATGGATCTCGTGCTTGATACCGCCCAATTCCGAATCCCAGATCTTTATGGTGTGATCCCACGAACTCGTGATGATTTCTGTTTTGTCGGACCACACAATCCCGCTGATTGCCTGTTTGTGTCCCTTCATCGAGCGCTTTGGAGCCTGGAGTATAAAACGACGCATGATAACCATGTGGGATCATGATAATGTTATAACACAACATTTTTTTTTTAAATTTCTTAATTTACGTACCTTCGTTTTACTAGCGTATTCTGATCTTGCCTTTTTCGAAGCCGGTTCCCCGTTATCATCTTCCTCTTGTGTAGCTTAATTATCAAAAGAGAGATCTTATTCATTATTATTTCATGTGCCTAATCGTTTATTGCCGACTTACATCTCTATTTACTGTTTTGCAGTAAATATTTCCTCAAATCTCTTTAAAATTAATATTTTTTAAAATAAGAAAATTTTTTGTATCGCAAGCCATATATCACATTTACATTTACAAAAAAAAAAATAAAGATTAAGACTTTTATTTAAAAAACTAAGTAATTCGATTTTTTATATTAATGTACTTACATGTTGACCATATAAGGAGCATATTGTCCCAAGCGCCAGTTGCCATTAATGTTTTGTTGTAGTTTACATTGACTGCTTCAACACTTCTTTTATGTCCTTTGCAAACATGTACACATTCCACAGAATTTTTTATTATATCCCAATTCCAAATCATGCATGTCTGGTCCATCGATGCACTGTGTGTGTATATATTTGTCATTATTAACTGTCCTTTATCTTCTGAGATATATTTAAATGTTTTTTTACATGTTTCAAATACATTTGGGCAAAAAATTGTTTGAACATTTGTGTCATAATTAATAACTTGTATGTATATAAAAAAATATAAATATGAAATTCATAGAAACGATACACAACTGCACTACTATTTTTCGAAGAATTACCTGACAAAGGAAGCTTTATCATCATCGAGAGATATCCAGGCCACCGCTTTGACAGGAGACATATGTCCAGGAATTACAAAACGATGTTTACCTTTCAATGTCCAAATATGCAGTTTATTATCGTAAGTACCAGTTAGGATCCTAAATAGAATAATTGATAATGTTAATACCTTAATTATAAATATATAAAGATATAGAGAGTACACTTTTTGTCTTCTGTTTTTAAAATTTTATAATCGTAAGAACCCCAACCATTTTCCGCAAACAGCAACAGCCGATACCCAGTCGTCATGTATTAAACAATCTTTTGGTTCTGGCAAGGGATGCTTCTCTATGTATTCCACATCTATTACCTCTTCCGTAAAAACTCCCCTATCTGCGATATGTTCTGCTAAGGGGGTACGCAAGAATTGTGAACAAACCAAGAAATCAAATTCCACTTCATCTTGGATATCATTTGATTCTGCAAACAATCAAATATTTAGTTTTGTGATAAAAAATATCGACACTGTCTTACAAGTAACTCAAATACTTAAATGACATATAAAAATTAACTTTACATGAAATTACTTTTAAAGTTATACACATGCGTCAGGAAAAGCATGTGATATATATATACTTTAATATTAAATAGTAACGTATTAAATAATTAATAATCGAGAATCATTTGAAGAGAAATGAGAACAGTTTGAAATACATTAAAGCAAGTAGGTTTCACACGAAAACTCTCCTCCTCACCTCTCAAAAGTTCATTTATTATAGTATTTAGTTCGTTGCTGATTATGGAACTGTGTACTGATAGGGGATAATCCGGCACTGCATATCTGAAAAGACATTCACAAACCAAGGTATGTTACCATGTTCTTATAAATTTGACAAATACACGTGGAAAAATCATTTCTTACCGCTGCTGCTTGGTTACAAAACGAATTTGTACTTGGCTCTCATTTTTATCAGAATGCACATGCTCCATCGTGGACAATCGTGGAAAAGCGTGCTAATACCAGCTGATACCAGCTACCAGCACACTTGCTCTCAGATTCGGAATTCGGATATGAATGAATTAAAATCGGTCACGTGTGAGAAGAAGTGGGGAATAGATATTGGAAACCATGTGCGCATGCGAATGTAAATCTTTTTCTCTCTTTCCTTCCCTCTACAATTCATTGCACTCCCTCCAACAACTTTCACGCCTAGTTTTCGCATCATCGTGTTACATAATCAATGGCGAATACAACTTCAGCTCGCTACTCAAAATGGCGGGTCATTCAAAGTTTACGAGAGCGAGATTTTGAATAATTATATCAAGCTCCCCGAGATCCCGAGATCTCCTTTATTCGCATGTCTTATGTCCTACGTGCATATACATCTTCCTGTCCGGCGTCGAGACCGAGATCGAGATTATCAGGGCTTCGGGAAACCGCGCGTATTATCGACCGCGATAATTGACGTAATCCAACTGTCAATGTCGAGCGTAGCGCGCTCGGTGCCACGCGGCGCGACGAACAAGAGCGTGGACTTGGCTTGCTCGGGCGATTTTGAGGTTATGTCGGCCGACAGATATTCTCGATTTTCGTCGTGATCGTGTCGGGATATCGCGATGTCGCTGCCAAAAGTGTCGCGGAAGGACACGATGGACGAGTGCCCGATCGTACCGGACCTGGCAAGGCATTTCCGGGCGAACAACAAGAGCGGTATCGTCAGCTGCCTCGCCCAGCTCAAGAGCGACCCTAAACGATGTAAGGAGTTCGCAACGCGGAGCAGCAGCCTCGAAATTCTCGTCCAGCTCCTGCGCTGCAAGAACGATGCAATAGTAAACATGAGCCTGAGCATACTCGCGGACGCTTGCATGTCCTTCGATGTCAGGGAAAAGGTATGTCCTTTGCTCCTGTCTTGTAATGTACTTGATTGATCATTCTTGTAAAGTACGCTGCGTAGATCAGGGGCGTAAGTAAGTCTTGTATTTAAGAGGTGTAAAAAAAAAAATTTATTTAAAAGCATTTAGAGAGAGAGAAAGAGCGAATGATTTTTTTTTTATTTTTTTGATATTATGATTTTATGATTTTCGATAAAGATACACTACTCAACAAAAAAAAAAATAAAAATAAAAATAAAAAATAGGGAACACTTTAAATCCTAGAAATTGGGCTATTTTCAAACCGTTGAAACTCGACGAAAAATCATGATAGACAAAAAATTAAAAAAGCATTTTGTAACTTGAAGTTTCAATTTTAATGCGCTACTGGTGGTTTAAAAAATTTTTTTTTATCTTCTTTGTTCTGTGCTTTAAAAAAGAATCCATTGTTTTGTTCCTTAAAATTATGAATTTTTGACACTCTGCAGCTCGATAAAAAAATTTCTCTCGGAAAATTCAACACAAGTTCCATAAACTACAACATTTTGCTTACAAAATGCTTTTTAAAAAATTTTCCTATGATTTTTTTTGATCGAATTACACGATTTTGAAACTAAATCTGTATTTTTAGACATAATGTCGATACTCGGGGAAGAATCATCGCAGACAAAAAATTGAAAAAGCATTTTGAAACTTGGAGTTTCATCTGTAATATGATATCGATAGTTCAAAAAAATTTTTTTATTTTCTCATTTCTAGAAAATACAGGTTTAGTTTAAAAATCGTGTAACTCAGTCAAAAAAAATCGTAGGAAAATTTTAAAAAAAGTATTTTGTAGGCAAACTGTTGTAATTTATGGAACTTGAGTTGAATTTTCCGAAAAAAATTTTTTTATCGGGCTGCAGAGTGTCAAAAATACATAATTTTAAGGAACAAAACAATGGATTTTTTTTTAAAGCATAGAACAAGGAAGATAAAAAAATTTTTTAAACCACCGATAGAGCGTTAAAGTTGAAACTTCAAGCTTCAAAATGCTTTTCTAATTTTTTGTCTACAATGATTTTTCGTCGAGTTTCAGTGGTTTGAAAACAGCCCAATTCTTAGGATATGAAAAGTGTTCTCTATTTCTTTTTTGAATAGTGTATATTTAATGATGATGATAATATTGATGAAAATATATCTACTAGATAGATAAAGAAATTTCAAATTGAGATAGAGAGGAGAAAATGGAGTGATAAATTGTGCTATTTTAAAGCCATGATATATAAAAAATTGGTTACGACACACATGAGTGTATTAGTATAACTTGACTTTAAACAAAATTGAATAATATCCATGTTTATACACGCAGTATTTTTACATTTGCATAATTTATGTTATATACTAATAAAATATCTGTTCATTGTCTGACAGATCTAAAATTTCAGATAAAATACAGCAAGATTGGAATTAATGTAGTACCCATAATAAAAAATCTCAAACTGGACACTAAGCTGCACTGCCGCGCTTGCAGACTTGTCAGTAACTTGTCCGAATGTAGGTGGCATGTTAAAGAATTGTGCGATGCTGGAGTAGTGAAAGCACTTGTTCCACACCTAATATTAAAAACCAATACGCAAACTTATTGTATGGCCATCAGAGCTGTGAGGTATAAAATTATTCTAGTATAATTTCTTCTAGTATAATTATAATATATTTATTCTATATAATATTTTTCATCTATATTATTTTTTCAATTGTATTTATGTAAATTCCATATATAAACACTTATATAGAAGAAAAAAATTCCAAGATTAAATGCTAAATACGTCTTACAAATTTTTATAATTATATACCATTAATATTTCGTGATTCTAATTATTATGAGATATTATTTGTTTTTAATTACTTTATATAGAAAAATAATTAATTTGTTAATACTTTGTGCACTTATGTGCATGTGTCTAATATTACAATTATTAATTTATTTATTTTAATTATATTTGCAGGAATATCTGGAGTTTTTATATGTATATCAGGGAAACAATGATAGAATTGCAGATTATCAAACTGGTTACTCAATTATTCGTTAAGGCCGAAGAAAAATCTTATGAAAACACTAAGCACGCCGAATTGGTGGATGCGTGTTTGAAAGCTATGTATGCGTTTCTTGTCACTCTAGATCCGCGCTGCGGCGAGCAGATGCAGATAGATAAGGACAAGCAAGGTTACAAGTGTCTCATGCGGTGCTGCAACAAGGGAAACAATAAAATGGCCATCAAATGCCTCTATCTTCTCTGCCAAATAGCCGAGTGTCGATTGGACTTGGGCATTTCCGGCACAATTGAGGAGATCATAACTTTGATCAACTCAGTGGAGAGCAGTTCTAAGGAACAACTGTACAAAGAGATACTGATTAGTCTATGCCTGTTCTGTCGAGAATCGGTGAATCGGAACAAGATCAAGAACAGTGATGGATTACAGCTGATCATAGCGCTGCTGAACAATTCCAAGCACAAACATTATCATTCTGTATTGTTACAAGCTCTTGCACAGTTTATCTACGACGATAATGCTCTCGACATTTTGGCCAAACATGGTATATTGGATATCTTGATAGCAAAATTGAAGGATGTGATTGCTATAGCGGTGGACGATGACAAGAATAACACGTCTAGGAAACGTTTCAGCGATTATCCGCCCGAATATCAGAAAACGCCTTTGAAATATACTCGGACTTACGCGGAAAGGTGAAAAAAATTGCAGAATATTTGTTGAATATTCATTAAGATGAAATATCAGAATCTACAGACGATGATTCTGATAAGATATATACCAGGCAATTGACTTTTGTTTGTTATTTTTCTAATCGAAATTAATTCAATTAATTTGTTATTTTAGAACATCCAGGTTTAGTATGGACTTTTATCGCGACGACTGGAGCCCGAGAAGTTTCACGAGCGCCTCCTCCTCGTCGCCATCCAGCACACCGCCCTTGCTACTTTGTTCCGATTCCAATCCGGAAACTGACGACACCGAGGATAACGACATTTACAGTCCGATCTGCAGTGACACCGAATGCGGCGACAACGATGAAGACGGTACATGTTATCTTTATTAGTATTCTATTGACATAATTTTTCATTTAATTACATGTGTGATGATTTAAATTTTGCATAAAATTTGTCTGGACTCGACTACAATTTATTCATCTAAATTAATATTTCATTGTTACAGAGGAAACAACTTCCTTGAAGAGCTACAAATCGCTGACGACCGCCGAAGCCGATTTTGATTCGCTCTCAACTAGTTCCGAAACCCCCAGCAAGATGAATGCTTGTGAATTCTATACGTTAGTGTTGTTCAACAGTTTGAGTTTTTACCCAATCGACGAGTTAGCCGATCCTAAGATTATCAAACCATTGACGAATTACATAAAATATACGAAGAAACAAAATCTCCAAAAATACCGAATCACCGCAATCAAGATATTAATGAGGATAATGAAGTAAGAGGTCTATCAAAAAAGAAAGTCCATCATTTTTTAATCATTTTTTAATTATTTATTTAATTGGCTATTTTAGAAAGGTTTTATTTATCGCGTTTATATTTCTAACATCTTTCAATTTTCTTTCCAGTAATACGGCTTATTTTCTACCGCTGCTGAAGCAGGGCCTGGTATTTGACCTGCAGACTCTGCCGGAAGCGGAGGATTGCACGCGGCGTTTACGCATGGTGGCGGAGACCGGCGGCGCCATCGGTCAACTGTCGTTTATATTGCTGCGCGGAGAAGACGAACAAAAGCTGCTGACCGCGGTGTCGATACCGCTTCTCATCAAGACACACCACAATCTTAAATGCTTACTGGACAAGTATGGCGGACTACAGTTAATATTTCGCTTGCTCGCGGAATCATCACACAAACTGCACGAGTCGGCGATCTGGTCGATCTGCCAGTTGGCGAGGACATTGCAGCTTTATCCGGCCGATCCATCGATTACAGTCACGAAATCACTGAAGACCAGCGATTATTCGAGATTACCTCGTGACGAGACGACGGATCATACGAAGCCGACGGTGTCGTCGATGGTTACATTTGAGCTAGATGACGGCACGACAGTAGAGGCATGCAGGCGAATGCTGTGCCGGCGCTCGGACTTTTTTTCCGCCCTGTTGGAAGGCAGTTTTAGTGAGTCGGGTAAGAGACGAGTGCGATTGAAGAACACATCGCGCGACGGCCTAAACACATTGATACTAGCGGCGAATGGTGCCGCATTGGAGCGCGAAAACATCGAGTCATTGTTGGACGCGACAGTGTTAGCCGATAAATTTCTCATGTCGGACCTGTTGGACCCGTTGACCGAGACCTCCCTAGCCAAGCTGAATCACGAGAACTTCTGCCGAGCGTGGCGTTGGGCCAAAAGCTACTCCTGCCATGAATGGAGGTCCTACTGCATCAAGAGTTTCTTGACAAAGATGTCGTGGAGTGAAACAGTGCAGGCGTTTCGCAATTTTTATACTATCGATATTTTCGACGAATTCTTGCACGAAGTCAGGGACATAATCGAGTATGTGTTGTGCCAAAAGACTAAAAGACATTAAAGATATTAAATGATTCTTGAATTCGGAGCAGTGCAATTATGACAGACATAGAGAATTCTTTGACAATTTTTAGAATAAATCTTGGAAGAACGAATTCTAGATTGAAAATGGAGTAAATTTGTGGACATTGTTACTCTGTTCGTTTTATGAAAGCTCTTCC